GCAACACATATAAATGGGGGGAAAAAAAAAGTAAGTTTTAAGAAAATGTGATGAAAAATACCCTATTGCAGTCAAATTTAGTAAATGTTAATTTTTTATAATGTATATTTTCTCCCTTTAAGTGCAACAGTGAAATTATTGGTTCACTTAAAAGTCTTTTTTTTTTTTTTTTGATTTTTGTTATAGGGAAAGCGAAAAATCACCCCCCAGGGAGGATGGCCACACCACAATCCCTTCTCCATTCTCCTCTCAGGATCTTGGGCATGCACGTACATGTGCCCGGTGTGAGGTAAGCCACCAGGTCTGGGACTCGAACCGCGGTCGATTACATGGGAGTCCAGTGACATAGCAATTACAGCGTGTTTTCCAAGTTGCTGGGTCTGGGATTCAGATCACACAGTCTGCCATACGTGGTCCAGTCACCTTAAAGACCATGACACTGGCTGTTCCTCTAGTGTGATATTATTGGGTTACCAGAAAAGTCATGTTATTTTTTATGTAAAAATGCATATGACTTTTCCTACAACCCATTATTTGTGAAACCAAAATGTTGTAAACTTGACAACCCAGTTAACACACACGGTATCAGTGCATGTTACATGGACTAGGTGAAGTAGGTGGGTGGTCAGGACACACAGGCCAATTTGGAGAAAGAATTGAGCCCCTTGGTCCAACTCAGGTGATCTTCCCAGCACCTTTCCATCCAAGCACCACGGACATTTCTAGATCATGTTTCTGAAGATCTCGTGGGAGGGCCAGAAGCAGGAAGGAAGGATGTCAGAAGCACAAAGGCAAAGCTTTCTTGCCTAATGACATTCTAGGTCACCTTAAACAAAAACGCTGATAGAATCAGGGGAAGATGCTAATCTAGAGTCCAGCAACTGGCTTCAAGAATGGACTAGACAGTGAGTGGGGAGAATTTGTAATTTAGACTTCCGGGTGTTAAAAGTTATGCAAAGACAGGCACATAACCCTCGGCACGGGGCCAGGCACCTGTCGCCTCAGCTGCTTGGGAGGCTGAGGCAAGAGGATCATAATCCAGTAAGACTTTAAGAAGCTACAAGACACTATGCACCCTCCACCCCCGACACACAAACGCCCAGATGGGCAGAAAACAGATACTTAATATTTGCTGCCATATGATGGAACTAGTAATTAAAAATACCATCATTTGGCTGGGGCCAGCAGTTAGTGTAATGACTATGTCGCTGGACTCCCACGTAGTCGACCGTGGTTCGAGTCCCAGACCTGGTGGGGAGAGAGCCCAAGATCACGAGAGGAGAATGGAAGAGAGGGGATTGTGGCGTGACCATCCCCCCTGGGGTGTGATTTCTCAAGTTCTGTCTCTTTGTCTCTATCTGTCTGTCTGGTGAGCACACGTGCCCTATAGCAAAAACCTGTCAAAAGAAAAGAAAAAAAAATACCATCATTTGACGAGATAAATTCCATGCTTTGCATAGTCACACTGATAGCTGTGTATTTATTATTATTTTAAGGTGTATATGCTCACGAGAGAGCGAGAGAAAGAGAAAGGTGAGAAATCGCACCCCCAGGGAGGATGGCCATGCCCCAGTCCCTTCTCCTCCATTCTCCTATTGGGATTTTGGGCACACACACACAACCCAGCATGATTTTCATGCTGCCAGGTTTACGACTCAAATGCAAACTCAGTCTTAGGGGCCAGACGCCTTCACCTCCAGTCAGTCACTGGGTGGCCTGCTGTGCCTTTTTATGCAAACTCAGTCTTACGGGACCAGACGCCTTCACCTCCAGTCACTGGGTGGCCTGCTGTGCCTTTTTATACTCATCATGGATGAGTGGAAAGGAGGCCGGGAAGGATTAACACTGGTCAAGTGCATGGTGCTAGAGCTGGCAAGTGGCAGAGCTAAGAGCCAAATCCAGGTCTGCTCTTCCCACTTTGCCGTGCTATTTCTCAAGTCCGGACAAAATCTGAAAATAGGAAGGCTGCAGAATTTTAACCGCTATCACGAGGTTCACATTAACATTAACCAGTAATGTTTTTCCGTCAATTCTTATACTCTGTTTTGGGTCATAGTTACTAGACTGGAGATGTTTTGATAGCCTCTTGGGGGGAAACCCCACAAAGTTAGGAGTCGTGGAGAAAGCCTGTGGCGTTTCCAGCGTCTACCACCTGTTCTACATTGGTTCATCATCGGTGCTCTAAGAGCACATGAGGTCGGTCCTCTTTCTAGTGACTGACCTCGACATCGAATACAAGCAGGAGAAATGAAGAAAATTACTGAGGAAGGAGGTGACATCATAAAAGCCAAACAGTTCGTATTGGCTGTGAAGAAGTGGGTGGGGTGTGGCAGACCAGGGGAGACAGAACCTTGTTACTGGCAATTCTGAGACACAAAGTGAAAGTAAGGAGAGGGCACATGTGACTCCAAAGGGGCAGCCCTTGGGAGAATCTGCCTGCTGTTCAAAGCCACGTGGGGGGAGACTTGGCAGCTCTAAATATTGATGTACCCAATGCTGGAGCACCCAAATATGTGACAGAAAGACTGCTAGATCTAAAGGGAGAGATAGACGTGGCACAGTAGTCATTGTGGAGCTCAATACTCCGCCGTCTCCTCTGGACAGATCGTCTATTAATAGAGAAACCCAGACAGATACAGGATCTAAATGATACCACAAATCAAATGAACTTGACAGACATCTATGAAAGTTTTCACCCAGCAACCACTAAATATATATTTTTCTCACTTCCATATGGAACACTTGTGAAGACTGACTACGTGATAGGGCACAAAACCAGCCTTTACAAATTCAAAGTTATAGAAACTATATCCAGCATCTTTTCCAACCACAGTGGAATTAAACTGGAAATTAACTGAGGAAAGAACCCTTGAAAATACACAAGCACATGGAAACTAAACAACTTACTCCTGAGTGACGCCACAACCACTGAAGAAATTAAGACTGAAATTAAAAGATTCATTGAAACCAATGATGATAAGCGTTTCCATGACTTATGGGACACAGTGAAAGCAGTAACAGACAGAAGGTTATAGCAATTCATGCTCACAAGAAGAAAGCTGAAAGGTGGCAAACAGACAACCTAATAACACACCTTAGGGAACTGTAAAAACAATAAAAATCCCAAAAATACCAGGAGGAAAAAAACAATAAACATTTGAGCAGAAATAATTGAAACAGAGAATAAGAGAACTATACAGAAAATAAATGAAACCAATAGCTAGTTCTTTAAGAAGATAAGCAAAATTGATACACTAGTAAATAGACTAGTTAAGAAGAATAAAGAAACCAGATAAATCAGATCAGCAATGAAACAGGCAATATTATTCATTCATCAGAAAAGTCATGATGCATTTTTACATAAAAAAAAAAAGAAAAATGCATCATGACTCTTCTAAGGGCCCGATACGACGGACTGGAAATAGAAAAGATCATGAGAGGATGTTACGACCAACTATACGCCAACAAACATGAAAACCTGATGAGACAGATACATTTCTGGACACACACAATCTACCAATATTGAATCAGGAAGACAGAGAAAGCCTGAACAGACCAATAGCAAACGAGATTGAATCGATAATAAAAAGCCTCCTAACAAAGAAAAGCCGGATGTTCATGACCTCACTTCTGAATTCTACAAAACTTAAAGGAGAACTAACCCCAATTCTTCTCAAACTATTTCTAAAGATCCAAAAGGAAGGAAACCTTTCAAATTCATTCATGAAGCCTCTATCACCTGGTCCCCCAAATGGGCAAGGACATAGAAAAAAAAAGAAAACTAAAAAAGCAATCATACAGGCAAGGACATAACAAAAAAAAAAAGAAAACTAAAAAAGCAATCATACTTTCATATTCTTCATCTTGAAAGGAAGTGTTCGACTTCTGCATTACGAGGAAAGGCTGTGAGAGCTATCTTACCCATGGACGACGCCATGGCTATCAGATACATCACTGTAGTCCACACTGAAGGAGAAAGTATTTGATACCCTAGTAACTCGCAATGCTGCAAGGCTGAAACAAGGGCAGGGCAGATCCCCAACGAAGGAATCACCTTTAGGTTTAGGCTGGTGCAAGGGGCTGCTTTAAGAGCTGCCCAGTTGAGATCTTGTCTTCATGATGCGCTGCTCCTACCACCACGAGTCAGTTCCTCCTGCAGGTTCTGGGAACAATGTTCTGTGAGGGAATTCCATGCAGCTATCATTTCTACATGATTCTTTTCCCTGTTTTTTCCTTTCTTTAAAAACTTATTTATTTTTCGACATGGTTCCTCTAAACCCACTGGGTTCTGAGAGTAATTTTGGAAAGAGCTGAGTTAGGAGGAATAGCTAACCAGTTCCATTTAACAGAAATTGACTTGACCCACCCATGAAACAAGTATGCAAAAACTCATGACATTAATTACATGTTCCAGATATGTAACACAGGCCAGGAGGGGGCCCTAACTGCCAGGTGATGTCAGGAGCTATGTTCACCTGGCCTTATCATGTGCTTGTGCAAACGTGCCTACGTGAATGCACACCCGTCCCCAACATCCCAGTGCCTCCTGGGCCTGTCACAACCAGTGAATCCATGGGGAGAGGTGAAATCACTAGCTCAGACCTAAAATTTGCTACATCAGTTTACAGACCGGGATGTATCTGGATACTTTCTGCACATAGATTTGCTGGAAAATTGGGAATATAATAATTCTTGAAGGAACCTGGGCTCCTGTTTGTAAGTGTTCTGCCATAACAGCCTGACATTCCACAGCATTTGGAAACAAACTGAATTAAAAGTGAGACAGTGTCACTCGAAAAGCTGTTCTGGGTCAAGATGCCAAGAATTCATGAGTGAGAACTTAGTAAAAAGGACATGAATATGTTTAAAGTTGTTTTTTCCAAACAACCAGACTTTGGAAACTAAAATGACCAGCAAGCACTAGATATAACCAGTCGTTTCTACCTTGAAAACAACGTGAGAAGTGAAGCTAGAGAGAGAACGAAGGCCCAACACGTATGTGCAGAAATTAACTTTTTATTATATCTCATATAGTGTAGTAGTAAAGTCTGAAGTGCATGAATAAAAAGTTAGTGAAATCACAGGAGGAACAATCTATATAGCAAGAGTAAGTGCATTCCCTGTGCATCGGAAAGAAAAAAGAGTTTTCACTCATTTGGCCTAAAACTTAGTGTTCAGGTTCCCAGGATTCTGACATCAGAACCGGATAACGCTGATTAGAACCATAGGGGCTTTACAATAAAAGCTAAAATATTGACCATATGATGGCAAAAAGTCTTATTTGTGGTTAGCTTATTCTCTTCTAGCTGCTCTCTGATGGAGTGGGTGGCGCCGTGGAGGAGGAGCGCCGCCGCCGGGACGAGGACCGGGAGCGCTCGGCGCTGTAGGGGGCGTGCTTGTCGCAGCTCTCCATCTGGGCCTCCACCAAGTCCCTCTGCTGCTGCCTGAGAGTCTGGCTGATGAGCCCGGGGAGGGCGTGGACGCTCCCAATCAGAGTCTCTAACTTTGTCTCCAGGGTAACTATCCTCTTCTCGAAGTCTTCGCTCCTTTCATTTAGGTCGGAAATCATGTCGTACATGATGTTCTGGGTCTGGAAGAGAAGTGAGAACGGAGATGAGAACAAACCAGGACGCTGGACGGCGCTTGCCCTGGAAGCAAACCGGCGGCTTAAGCACTGCGCCCCCGCTGGCGCTGTCCGACACAGCAGGGCGTTGGTGGCCTGGCGTTCACCCCGTTCACCCCACAAACAAGTCCAGCGCGCTCAGTGTCGCTTCACTGCCAGGACTCGGGATTGCCAGACGTCAGACAGAAATTCGTTCAGCTGTAGGGGACCAGCAGGTGGCATGGTGGTTAAGGTGCTGGACATTCCCGCATGGCCGACCAGAGTTCGAGTCCTGAATCTGGAGGCTTGCTTTCTCACTTCTCTCTCTCACTCTCACCCTCTGTCTCTCTCTGGTCACATTAATAAAGTGAATGAATAAATAAAATTAAATAAATAATTATTTAAAAAAAAGAAATTCGTTCAGTTGCAGAAAATGTGGCAACTTATGGTATGCCCATGATTTTAGGTGGCAGGAAAATAAATGAATGTATCTCACTTTAATATTTACATATGCACTTTAATGCCTGTGACAAAGGTCAACAAATCAAAGTCATCTTGTAATATGTAATACTAGGGCGAGGCTAATTTTAAAAGATGTAAGAAACAGTAACCGTGCAGATGGTATTGGGATATAGCAAGAATTCTGAAGGTAGAATATGAATGAAGTTCAGGATTCACTGATTTGATAAGTAGTGAGTAACTTAAAGCAAGTAATTCCTAAGTACCTTTTCTGTCCTATGTCCCAAATGATTGCATTTCTCAAGTGGGTAAAACAGCATTTAACAGGCAGCCACGGAGAGAGTAAAAGTAGGGGAGATACTAAAGTTACCATTCCATCTAGCCGTCTATGGCTGAATCAGAACTAAGTGGTTCAAAAAAAGAAAATGCTTTCAGTCCTAGTGAACCTCGAAATTGATGTTTTTATCACAGCATATCCAAAACTGATTCTTAGTTGTATTTCTTGAAGTAGCCAAGAGACAAGGAGAGATGACCCCCAGGACCAGTTGACTCCTACCCAGAACGGGAAAAGGGTGGCCGAGAAGGAGGTCGGGGTGTCCACCCTGGGCCAGTGCAGCCTTCCCCATGTCTGAGACCCCTTTGTCTCAGCCTTCTCTGCTTCTTCCTCATTTCCTCTATAATGTCCTCTTCATCTGCTTAACAACCGCTAAAAATGATAAATGAGCTGAACGAATAGAATACGGGAATTATCATTCAGAACACAAATACCTTCTTTCAGTTTGGCCATGGAGACAAGAGTGCATTAACTTCATTTTTACTACATGGTCTTGAGAATACGTAAACAATATTCATTCATTAAAGAAATGCTGAACTATGGCACATACAGTCCCAGGGTTATAAGTAAAGAAATGGTTTGAAAGAAGCAGCATCTTGCTTAACAGATACACTCTTGAAGTAAATGACTTATCTATATAATTTTTATTGTTTTGGCTCAGAATGACTCAAGAGCCTGCCTCCTCTTTGCTCAGGATGGTCTGTTTGTCCATGTTAGCTGAGGGTTGCCTTCATGCCTTGCTCATGTCTCCCAGGTAAGGCATTATAACTCCACCTATCATCCCCAGTACGTTTCTGTAGTCTGTATGACTGGGATATGCTAAAATGAGTAGTATCATTTACGTACATTATTTAATGAGATTAGGTTACATTTATGCAATTTTCATAGATTATATCTGAGAATTCAGTGAATAACACAGCAGATTTATCAAATCTAAAATGGGATATATTGACCTAAATGAGAGTTGCTTCTTTGAACCATTTGTGTTAAAAGGCTGAAACTTACCTAAATGTATTTTAATACCTCCTTTATAATTCATTCATGAGAATACAATGTTTTGATTGTTGATAAATATTTTTATTTTGAGAGTGAGATTCTTTGGGGAGGATCAACCAAAAGTCAATCAGATAAATCTTATAAATGCGGTAGAACAATTTGGGGACTTTTCCAAAAGTGCTACAATTTTTAAATAATAAAACAAAAAAAGAACCATTAAAAGAGAGAATTTTTGTTGTTGCTTTTTTCTTAAAGACAACATCTTTAGGGTGTAATTTCTGCGATTTTTAATTTTTGTTTCAACTTTACATTCCTCTGCGTTTGCTTGACATACATAAAAATAATTTTACTGATGAGTTTTACTTAGTCCTGAATCGCATAGTCACATCAGAATGTGGTTCTACTTTCATGGAAATGAGATTTATCTGCAAATAAGAACCCCAAAGTACTGTCTGCTTAGATTTCTTGTGGTCCTGGACAGTCGTTTTAGAAAGCTTTCAGAATGGGGGCTGAATAATGTACAGAGTGAAAGAACATGTGAAGAGTTTTGAAAAAATTCTTTTAAGTTGGACGACCATTTTATGGTGGTTTACTGATTTTGATTTGTTAATTAAATGTGGGGGAGGCTCTTCCCAAAACCTTATTAAGGTGCCAGGACAGAGGTTAAGTTTAGCAGGATGCACCCTCGAAGGTCGAACACCTCAGGCTTACCTTTGCCAGGTCCACCAAGGTATTTGCTTGGTCATTCAGTTTCCTCTGCTCCATTTTTACACTTCTTAATCTAAAAGACAGCATCTAAAGTCAGAGAGGTTTTTTTTTACAGCTCTCTTACACCTTCCAAAGAGCATGCACAGAACTGACAAGAGCGAGTAACGGCATGGAGAATGCCTCGGCTACTGGGGTAAACTCCAGACTGGTTATGTGTCTGGTACGATGAGAAGCATGCTTCCCCAACACCGCAAAAGGAAAGGGGAGCAAGAGATGAGATGTCCTCAGGACAGCTAGTGACCAGGTCAGGTTGAATTCAGAAGGCTCATACGGACTTAACCATATGAGAAAAAGCCAAAACATTCCTTCAAGCCTCCGTATCGTGACAAATAGACATAGGAAGAAATATGCAAAGCAGCTGGGGCGTCACCCACGTGGGAGCAATGAGCGCCTTCCTATGCCTACGTGGTAGATACAGGTGTTAGCCCTGTTTAGTCGGAAATGATTGGGTTAGGGTTCGAACCTGATGAAAACACAGTGATAAGTGAGATTCTTATTAACAAAACCAGAACTTTTATTCAACCAGCAGCAAGATCACTCAAAACATAATTCTCTTATTCTTCGTTGTCTTTCAGTTGACTTTTATCTTGAACTGCCATTGAATTGGAAGGGTGGCCAGACCATTTCCTTGTGAAAATTTCTCTTAGAATCTTTAGTGTGGATAAAAGTCAGAGGGCAATTAAATTACCTGACAGATGGACTTGTTACTAGTAGGATTACTTGTAGCTACTTTTAAGTAGCACTGTATGTACTAACTGGCCTGATTTTTAAAAACAGTCAAAAGGCCACTGTTTTAAAACAAATATATCTCTCTTTGAATAAGACTTCTTACTATTCCTTATTTATTGCATTATTTCAACAATTGTTTATTCAGTACTTACTATGTACCAAGGAATTAAGATTTTCAAACAAGAAAAAAGTGGTTTGTTGTCATTTAAGCCAACAATTCAAAAGAGCTATGTGATGAAAATGAAAAAAAAAATCCATGTTAACCTTATTTTGCTTTAACAGTAAGTGATTTTTACAAAGTATTGATAGCTTTAATGCTGGAGAGAGTACTTTTTCTTAATTTTTATATTTAAATTGAGCTAAGTATATAGCAGAATTAAAAAGGCACAGGGCAAGATTTTACTGCCAGGGGGACTTTTGCAACACGTGCTCATAGTGCTCAGTGAGTATGCTGGACAGCTGGGGACCCAGCGCGTCACCAAATCTGCACTACGGTGAAGATGTGTCCTGATATCCGAGGTGTGTTAGACTGGGACGGTGTTCCTGAAGTCTGGGTTTGCACTCACAGAGGCAGCCCATGACTGTAAGTGATATTCATACAGGACATAGAACATTTCTAAGACAGAGAGAGAGTTTCCCCTTTAACCCTCTTTCATTTCTAAATAATTGAAAGAAAAGTATTTCAGGCTGGTCCTACCCTGCCTGGCTCTCCTAAAGCCTGCTCCTGCTGTTATTCTTTTTCTAAAGAGAGCGCAAGATCTCAGCTCAAAGCTCTCCGTAAGCACGGTCTACAGCTGGAGTTCGGTACAGCAGTCCTGACTTGCCAGTGATGGCATCTCTACTTGACCTTGACTGACATGTCTTTATCTGTTTATGATAGGAATTTACATCATTTTCCTTGCAGGTTTTAGAAAGCAATAGGACGGCTAGCACGGGAATGGCAAGGTTAGGCTCGAGGCCAAAACTTCCAGCACCTTGTAAGTACTGAAAAAGTGCTGGGCTCTGCACAGCCAGCCAGGCAGCACCCCCTTAGCTGCAGGGGGTACTTTGTCTCGGAACAGTGAAGCCTCATTTACGTCTCTCAGATCGCCGTACCAGGTCTGACAGTAGAATTTTGCCCATTGTGTTTTCTACTAATCTGGAAAGCTGACAGAGAGAGTAGCCCTGTTCGCTTGGAATTCCTGCAGCTCCCTGAACTGAAATCATCCTGTCTGTTTGTTGTACTGTCTGCACTGTGAGAGAGCTGAGAGCAAAAGCCTGCTTAAGCTGCAGCTGCCGGAATAAAAGGTGACATGCAGATGTGTAGTACACTTTTTTCCCCACCTGCGCTGTGAGAGAGCTGAGAGCAAAAGCCCGCGTAAGCTGCAGCTGCCGGAATAAAAGGTTACATGCAGATGTGTAGTACACTTTTTTCCCCAGAAAAAGAAGAATAAGAAACATATGTTGATTTCTTCCATGTGAACTTCACTTATCACAGGAAAATATCATGATTTGGGGTTCACATTTCCATAGCAGCAATCAGACTACTAAAGTTCACAAATAAAGGGTCTGCTGGGTGCATGCAGCCAGTAGGAAGTTCTGCAAACGTTGAAGGGAGCAGCTCACACAACTTACTTCCGAGCTCTATTTTCATTTTGTTGAAATAAAAAGACAAAACAAAAGAAAAGAAACTGTAAAATATTCTGGAACAAAACAACACAATGTGGTTGTGCACAGGGGGCTCGATTCATTAGCTGGAAGATGCTGTTCTGATTCGGCAGGATTTTGACATACTGAGCAAAAGAAACCCTATTCAATTACATGCCATCCCTCTTCGTTGCCGTTGCCTCCCCCGCCCCCTCCTGAGAGCATCTGGCTCCCTCCGGAATCCCAGCTCAGAAGGAGGAGCACGTGCGAAGCCACCTTGGCCTCTTGAATTTGGTGTTCACATAGGGAACATTTTTGCCCAATAGGAATGTGACACGGTCAACAGGACAATATTTTAAACACTGGGGTTGGTTTTTCTCCTGGGGAGTGCGCATTTTCCAAGTTGGGGTTACTCAGAGGACCAGCCTTCTAAAAGGCAGGTAATCTAATACTCTATGCTTAAAACATGACGTTTACTGGATTTCTCGGTTCTGAGACAAGGTCACGATGATTAACAGGTCTAAAGTTGAGATAAAAGAATGATAAACCTCAAGTTAAAAACTGCTACAAGGAGAAGGACTGGAAGTTAGAGGAACAGAACTCTTCATGGTACCAAGTGATAATCCAAAAAGATAAATATGTGCCTAAAAAGGGGGCACAAGCCCAGAGAGGTGAGCATCCGTCGGAAACTAGAGGTCACGTGTCAGGCAGAGACTACAAAGTCTGGAAAAGAGAAAGAAGGCGGAGATAGAAAACGACCGTTAGCAGGAGAGGGAGCTGCTGAGAAAGCTCTCAGGACAAATCCGAGAGTGGGAGAGGCCAGGGGAGCTCTAGTAAACACATTTAAAGTTCTCCTTCAACGAGTAAGATCTGATTTCACCCCGTGCTGACAGATGAGGCTGAGGGTCTCACTGGAACTAACCATGCAATGAAGGGCAATGAAGGCCTTGCCCTTAGGAATCGAGCCCTATGTGCCTTCCTTCACGGTTTCACTCCCCAACTGCCGACTCAGTTAAAATGAGAGTCACACATGATTAATCTAGCCAGGCTCAGACTGTGTGAATGAACATATTCACACATACCTTGCACAAAGTATCAGCGTCCCCCACCCCAAAGGAAACCCAGTATTCCCAAGACTCATGTATAAAACAGAGCATGTTTAAGTGGCTTGCAGCTCGTCTGCTGTGGGAGCTCGTCTGCTGGGGGAGCTCGTCTGCTGGGGGAGCTCATGCTGCTTCACAAGAAACAACGAGAATTGTCTGACAGAAGCAGAAGAATCTCACGTGGCTTTCTCTGTCGTGCATCCCACAGCCACGTGCCAAAGACCCTGGGCAGCCCGTTCACAGCACTGTCAGGTCAGGCCTACAGGCCTCATGGGTCCATTTGCCACCTGCTTAGGGACAGTTCTTAAACTGCTTCCCCAAAGATTTTGTTTCTAATATTTCATTGAAAATATGTTCAACCTACAGAAAAGTTATAACATTTGTACAGTGAATCCGCCTCAATTCTCTCTCACTTTTTGAGTGTGTGGGTATTCAGAACTCAAGTCCTAAGATGAGATGAAGTAAATATGCACCATTTACTCATGGCTACAGAACGTGGCTACAAAAATCGTGTCAGAGCATTGTTCTATGTGTTTGTTGTTACATGAAAAATTACAGGTGTCAAAGACAAACTAAATGTGATTATACGTTTAGCAGGTTACAGCGACAGGTGAGATGAGCGAACTCTCGGAGCAGATGGGTATGTGGCTGTGGACACACAGACCGACGACACTGGCTCATGTCCACGTCACCTCACACCCTCACACTAGGGTTTAATACACTCCAACAGTAGAGGCTGATGCCACATGGACACACAGACCGACGACACTGGCTCATGTCCACACCACCTCACACCCTCCGTCCTGCACACATACACATTCTCATATCCACTAGGGTTTAATACACTCCAACAGTAGAGGCTGATGCCACAAGTTTGGAAGTACAAAGAAGGGCTTCTGCACGTATTCCGCATGCACCTCTTACAGAAGTGTTAGGGCTGCTGTGCTGTATGGTTTGCAGGGCTGACTCTGACAGGAGCTCGTGTCAGGGAAGTCCTTGAGGGAAGACACCTTCCTCAGCAAGATGGGCCTGTGGGACACCGGACACACGGGGGAGGCTCGGCATTTCTCAGGTATGGGGCGGGGGGGGGGGCTCCG